TGAAAAGTGAATGACAGATCAGTAGCTTATGTGCTATTGAGAAATAGAATTTGTTTTAGAGATCTCATTTTTATGTGGTTCTGATAAACATTGAACATGCAGTCTAATAAATTATTCAGAATTTCTTCTGACACTCCTTTAATAACACTGGAACTAGTGAGATGGTTTTTAAGGGATGAATCAATCTGTGCTGAGAAACTGATAAGACCTCTAAAAACACTTGGATTTAATGAATCCTTGCTTTCATAATATTCTCATACTGCAAGCTCAAATGCACTGCAAAACGGAAAGGAATCAATAGTTTTTCAGAACATAACGATTTTGGGTAGCCTTCTTGTGCTTTTTAACATTTGTCATTTGTCTTTTTAACATTTTTAACACTGTCGAATATCTATATTTTCTAGCAAATTAAATTCTTTGATGGATTTAAATGTAATTGTGAGTATTCATGCTTTTTATTTTCTGAGTTAGGTTCGCTAAATGAACAACACATAACTCAAACTTGAATCGCCATTCTGTTTTGCAAACGGGAAACACGGAAAATAAAATGCCCCATTTGTCGATTCACATTGACAAATCCATGAGCATTTCTCAAATATATGGGTTTGAATTCCCTTTTGAAATTTTTAGTCTTACTTCCTCACTTGGATAAGGTGTTAGCCCGAGCAAGTTCATTTCAATTTTTCCTTCCAAAGATATTATTGAAAAAATGTAATTGCTTTAGTTCTGAAACACTGATTTACTAAGTGCTATCTTAGTGTAAACAGTTATGTTTAAAAATATATATCGAAAAAAATGACAACATAAAGAATAAGAAGAAAATTGAAAAGATTTAACGAACCAAATATAACAAACCAAGGGTTAATTTGGCCGAGGCAACTGCGAACAAAGCTAGTTCCCACATACAGAAAATGCACAAATGGAATGGTAACAGCAGTGTCTTTCAATTTCCACTTCTATATCTCCATAAACTGTTTTTCAAGTCAAGAGCACTTTGCTTTTTCCTCGATCGTGTGTGCAATCGAGGAAAAAGCAAAATGCTCTGTGTAGTAACCTACAATACAGTACGTTTGCACAGGGCATCCCTTGAATCAAAAATCAACAGCCTGACCTTTCATGTTAATGAATCATTTTTCCAGTACCATCCTGTCTGACACTGCTTTTGGAATGTGTATTCTTATTTTTACTTGTTTTTCCTTTCTCTGAGAAAGTAATCGCTTCTTGGAATCCATGAGAAAACGGGGTGACCGTCATTGCTTCAAAATTTTTCATTAAGAGCAGTTTAGCTTCATGCTTTCGAGTGTTTCCATTGTTGGTCTATTGGATTACTTGATAGATAATGGCTTACAAACGTAAGTTTACCGAATATGAAAAAGAAATGGAACGTTTGAGAATTCTATTAGATGAAGTTGAGTATTCTGAAGAAGAAATTGATCAAGATAGTGAAAATGAATCTGCTGAAGAAATATACAGTTCTCACAACAGCAAAAATGAATTTCAGCAGGACGACAATCCTGATTTAGAAAAAATTATTTTTATTAGCAAAAACAAAACAGTTTGGCAGAAAGGAAAACCAAATCAAAAAGTGAAAACGTCTTATCAAAATATATTAACTCATTTATCAAGATTAAAAGGAACTGCACGCAATATACAGAGCATCTAGAAAGTTGGGAATTGTTTTTCAATGCTAAAATGATATGATCCATTATAGAGTGCACAAATATTTATATTGAAAAAATATCAGCTAATCACACCAGAGATCGGTATGCCAAAACGACATATGAAGTGGAAATTAGAGCGCTTTTATACCTGTGCGGCTTGCATACATCGTCACGTACAAATATGCAAGAATTGTAGGTCACTGATGGATCAGGCATTGAAATTTTACGGAGCACAATGTCACATCAAAAATTTATTTTTCTTTTCAACGTTCAGTTAGGCAATGTGACCAATCATGAAGCTCAGAAAAAAGTAGACAAGCTGGCAGCTGTGAAAGAATTTTTTGCCGATTTCAATGAAAATTGCCAAAAGACATACATTATTGGTGAATATGTCAATATCGGTGGAAAATTAGAGTCCTTTCATCAGTATATACCCAGCAAACTAGCAAAGTATGGAATCAAAATATTTGACTTAGTAGATTCTACGACTTTTCACAACTATAACATGGACATATATGCAGGACAACAGCCAGAAGGTCCCTCCAGAGTTGCAAATTCATCATTTGAAATTACAAAATGCCTGTGCAGACCTTTGTTTGGATCAGGCAGAAACGTAACAATGGATAATTGGTATAGAAGTTATCCTCTAGCAAAAGAACTTTTATCAACCATTGTACAAAGCCTGAAGAGAAACTAAACTGAAATTCTCAATAAGTTCGTCGAAACAAAAACTAGGAAAGTTTATTTTTCTACATTTGGGTTCCAAAAGGATTGGATTGGATTATTTAATTATGGCAAAGCCCACGAGGGCTATTTGCCTAAAGGGAGGGATGCCTTCGTGGAGGACTTTCTATGGGAAACTGGCTTGTATATACGTTACACATGGAGAAACCACGAAAACGCCCAAGCAGCCAGCCCGTTTGCGGGATTCGAACCTCGGACCGAATTACCAGTGTTCAGTGTCTTTACTGCTCGGCCGCTGGTGGGCTGGGTTCCAAAAGAATGCAACACTAGTATCATATGTGCCTAAAAAATCCAAAACGTGTAGTTTTGCTGTCTAAAATGCATTATGATGATGCCATTCATGAAAGTGATGATACGAAGAAATCAGAAATAATGCACTTAATGCAACAAAAAGTGGTGTCAAAGTTGATGAAATGTCATCCTTATATTCGACAGCTCGAAAAACCAACAGATGGCCGTTTTTTATTGTGTGTTGAACATCACTGCAATAAATGCCTGAGTTGCCTTATTGTCAACAAAGACCCCTCTCTTACAATATACAAATAGGAGAAAATTCATAAAAAATTTAGCACACTATCTCTTATACAACCCCCACACGGAGCTAAGGAAAAATATATCAATGTTTCCTAAATTCCTTTGTGAAAGCATCTATAATGACACTTCTAGTGGATCAGAGGAACACCCATCAAAGAAACCAAGGGCCATATGCTAAGCATCCAGAGTCCAAAGACAATAAAATTACAATTTCTTGCAAAAAATATAATAATTTTTAATGTAAAATTCATTCTTCCTATGTTTGCCAGAAGTGTATGTTAAAATTCATGCTCCCTGATCTTAAATATTAAAATAAGTTTTCTGAAGTAAATGGTTTTTATAGAATTTATAGTACATTTTCCTAATAAAACTGACAGGGAGATTTAGTCACCCCGCATGATCTCCAAGGTCAGTGTTGGGTGTGCACCTTCTGCCAGGTTAAAGGTGACTAGTATTTCTGGGAACATAATCAAATAATCATATACAGGGTGTTTCAAAACTCATGGGCAAAAATTTTAGTGGTGATAGAAAGCATCTAAACAAGTAATTTTCACCATACAAGGCATTGGCGGAGAGCATGCAGTGAATCACTAAATGCCGTTGTAATGGAAAGCATTATCTTACAGATCGTCTTTGTAATGGAAAGCATTATCTTACAGTCCCGACGAGTCTGGATTAAAGACTTTTGACTTTAGTATGTTTTAGAAACTAAATATAACATTAGTTCAAAATAATAAATACAGCTGATAAGTGTAATGTGTATTTTATTGGAGCCAGATTTTATTAGAGTAAAAAAAGTATTCATTCATTAGCATGATATAGATGTCCATGGAAGCAATGCTCCTGTGAAACATGAAATTAACTTTTTTATTAGATTTCTTGAAGATGAAGGCCCAAATGCAGATAAAATTTATTAATATTTGTAATTGCTTCCAAAGAAAACTGTATTAGTGCTGTACATAAATGACATCAGCAGTTTAAAAAAAGAGAGAACACATAATTCATGATATGAAAGATCACAAAATGCTTATAGAGACTAATGATTTCTCTGCAATTAAAAAATATGATTTGTTGGCTCTATGGCCAAATAGCAAATTCCTCTAACAGAGGTCTATCATAACAAATGGGCACATATTATGATGATATTTTAATTACAAAAACAATTACACAAAAAAACTGACATTAGTACATATGTAACTTTTATGCATTGTATTCAAATCTTCTTAATCCCATTTTTAATGACAAGGTCAGAATTAAATTAAAAATAGTTCTTCTAATATATACAGGTATATAGTTAACTATCATTATAAGAAACCCATATAAAAATTTAAACAAGCAATAATTATCAACATTAGAATTCAGAACACTTATCATTGAAATGATAGTATTCAAACACATATATATGTTAGAAAATAAAATGATTGTTGACATCACAACAACAACAAAAAAAAAAAAAAAAAAAAAAAAAAAAAAAAGAGAGAGAGAGACCTATAATACCATGAAATTTTAGACAGAGATTCTAAATTTGTCCTCCTACGGCAGCTACATAACACTGCCATCATCTTTATGAAGGTCAATTCTTAGTTTGAATCTAATTACAAACTTTTAACAGTTTAATTTCAACTTAAGGGATGCATAGTATAATGCAGTTTCATGCTACATCATGGCAGTGTGATTTCCACTTTTTTCCCTGATTAATTCATTAAGCAAGTACAGTCAAAAGTCTTTAATCCGGACTCGTCGGGACTTCGGCTTTCCCGGATTACAGATCATCCATTTAAATGTGGTAAGATGGCATGCAGAAATTATAAAATTAAAAATATGAAACCATAATTTATGAAGTAAAGAGCAATTATGATCTAAAGGGTATCAAAATTTACCAAAAAAAAAAAAGCTTAATACTTATTTGTTTACTTTATTAAACATTTCTTTCAACGCGCACATGCGTAAAGCATACATTACGCATAGTCGAAATTAGAAAATTGCAACCAGAAAACTATTTGATGGGTATTCGTGATATTCTCGACAAGGAATTTGATTTAAATCATATCAAAGACGGAGTACATCTATATAAAATACTACATTTAGTAAGGAATTATAAGCTGAATAAAATAAAAACATCTGCCCTGAAGATAAGGATAGTGCTGACAGATCAATTTCCAGTTCATTGCATACTGCGAATGTGGAAGTGGAAGAAATAAGTGGAAGACAGTTGAATGGTCGAATAAATCACAATTTCTCATTGATTATGTCGATGGTTGTGTCAGGGACGCTGTCTTTTAGTCAAAAAATTGCACCTCCCTTTCCTGTACAGCAGGCCATCAAAAGCAGATGGCAGTATTATACTTTGGAAGATGTTCTCAAGGGTAGCTCACAAGAACATCCAGCCATGCCAAGGCAAGTGGCAGCTGTTTTGCAGGCCAAAGGTCATAGGCCAAATGGGCAGCCATGAGAACCTACCACAACTATGGGTGGTCTGTTGGTAGAACAGATCTTGGAAGCTGCAGACTATCTGAACATAAATGCGGATCAGTTGCACCCTTACATGGCATCTGTCTTCCCAACTAGAAATGGAATCTTCTAGCAAGACTTGGTTGTAACTCCATGTACAAGGCTAAAGGAACATACGGATGAATTCCAATTAATATCCTGGCCACCTAATTCACCGGATCTTAACCCAACAGAGCACATTTGGAATGTCATGGAGCAGCAGTTCAGAGCTCAAACACCACATCAGAATATCTAGACTTTGCAGGACTGCTGCTTAGACAATTGGTACAACCTGTCTCCAGTCATCTACCAAGAATTTGTGGCATCCATGCCAAGGCGAGTTGCAGCTATTTTGCAGGCCAAAGGTCATGTAATGCATTGAGTAGTTGGTCATAATGTTTTGTCTCTTTGGCATATCTATGTTTTAGAGGTTTTATTCATTCCTCTCATTCCCCCTCCCCAATGACAAGCATTTGCCTATTCAGCACTGACCACTCCTAAGGCCAGAAGTGCTGGCCATTTTATTGTGGAGGCACGTAACAGGATTCCACCATTGCCTCCTATGAAGCGATGGACAGTCACAACCAATCCTTTTTTGGAATTTCAACCTGGGCCCATCAGTACCGCAGTAGGCTCCTCTAACCACTGTATTGCCTGGGTGCACCGAGGCAAATATTTTGTACATCATTTAGCAAACATTTCTTACACTTCAAATGGCAAGGTTTTCATGATAAAGTTTTCAAATTAATTATGACAATTGCATCAGTGTTCCTCTTATAATGTGCTAAAAACTGCAATAACTGTATCACAATTTTAATTTATGCAAATTTTTCCAAAGCTAGGCTTACCAGCAAAAGTTGCTCATCCCAACAAGCCTGTGCGCATCCTGTCAGGGTGCCATAGTCCATTTCACAGCATTTATAACAAGTAATACTTTAAGCTTTTTCAGGTATTTTATGAAATAAGTTTACAATTTATAGGCAATAATATTCTGAACTACAACATTTTTTAAATTAAACTAGCCAAAATTTATAATACAGACAAACAACTAACTATAGAAAGTACCAACATTTCACGGGATCGCTCAATGAAGCCAAAATATTTCATTGATATCCTTAAAAAAGGGGGGAAGGGGGAAAAATCATAGTTTATGGATGAAGAAACCAAAATCATATTTAATAAATGAGCAGCTTATTTCACAAAGTTTAAACTTAAACCTATAAGATAAACAAAACTATTTCTGAGCAATTTTTTTTCAATTAGTTATAGTTTGAGAAAAAACATACTTATTACTGCAATAAACTGGATTAAGGGAAGGAATATATACCTAACATCTAAAGAACACTTAAGAAGAAAAAATTTTGCTTCATTCTCCTTAACCTAATTAGAAATATGGAAAGAAATATATTTTTACGTACAAATTTAGATATTTCAAAAAAATTTTAATATAAAACTTAACATACAACTGTTCAAATTACATGTAAAGCTTAAATTAAGCTTAAATAATTTAAGCTTAAATAATACTAAATAACACAAGCTCAAATAATACTAAAGTTTTTCAAAAACTGAAAAGTAGCACAATAATATAAATTAGCAATAAATATTTTTATTTTTTGGCTTCTTATGGGATAGTGAGGAAAAACAGATATGTTTTTAGTCTTGGGTACAAACATTTGATGTAAAATACTTGAAAAACAGATTACTAAGCTAAAAGCCACACATACCTAGCAGGAAACGTAACTGAAAGTAATAAATTACACAGTCTATGTGTGTCACAATTTTCAAGATTTCTTGCTTTACAATTTCTTAATGAAATATAACTAAAATTAATTAAATGAAAATAAAATTTTAAAAATGCTTTGCATTACAGTATTTATGCATTTATGCAGAAATGCAAAGCATTTTTATTGCTAATGTAGTTACTGTAATGCATGAATACTTTTCCAAGAAACAGAACTAGCAACATTACTCTGTATCACTATATCCAGCATAAAAAAACTGGCATCAGTGTGGCAATATTTTATGATGGCACTAATAGGAAAATCTTAGGATTTTATACTCTGTCATTCATCACAACAGATTTACAATCCGAATATGTGGTAACATATGTCTTTCAATATTTTGGTGTAATACTGAAAAGACAATGTCATTCTTATGCTTCTTTTTTCAGCATACTCATCATCTTCTCTATTCCATATTCTTGCATTTTTTCCATGAGGTACTAAAAAAAGAAAATCATAATAAACTTCTTGTTTAAATATTCTCATTTGATACTACTCAAATTAAATATGATTCTAAGCTGAAAAATACAGAAAATATAACTGTTAATTTCTATACTATATACATATTTATAAATTATGGTGTACTAGAGGTTGACTCCAAAGCTTAAATTGCACTGGAACCTGGCTCTACTTCTCAGTTTTTCAGATAAATCTTAATTCTAGCCAGAATGTGCTGAAGCCCTTAATAAGAGGACTCTTAGACACTTTTTGGGGGGTAATTAAAGCATTATTTCAGCAGAAAATTCTAAAATTTCATTTTAATAATAAACTTACCTTAAAAACCGATTTTAACTGAATGTATGCCTCTTTTTGCCTAGTAAACAAGCCCTACAATAATTTTTTTGAGAGAACAGAAAATTCCACCCACTTGTCTTTTCCTCCAGAAAGTGCAATGAATTTAAGACAGCGAATGAAACTTTATAGCTGAAAACACTAGAAGTGGAATTTTTTGGAAGGATGCAATGAAATACGGGGTACAAAAATTTTTACTTGCACAAAACCTTTTATAAATTTTCACTTGGACAAAATCTTTTATTCTCAGATTACAATGCGGACTTCGAAGGGCATTTTTTATCCATCAAGTCCTGCTTGACAACTAGGGTACATCGTGTTGGCAGGGGCTGACACAGCAAGGGTCGTGTTCAGAAAGTGTTGCACTCTTCTTTCTTTCTTTTCACACTTACACATTTACATTAAATTTTCTGTGGTTATGTTCTTTTGCCCCAGAATTCCTTCCTTCATTGCCAATAGCCCACTGTGTGTGTATGTCTCACCAACTTCCTTCTCATGATTCTCTGATTACTGGTCAGTAGTTTAGTCTTAAAATAAGAAGCCAAAGTATTTGCAATTTGAATACCTGAAGCAGAAATAAATATATGTTTAATATACCACTGAAGAAACTGTTATTGTACCTCATTAAAGGGGAACATTCCCCCTTTGACACCAGATGAAGGAGGGAAAGTTGACTGCATGTGAGACAATACTATTCACCAAAATCATTTCTAACTCCCCTTCCCAATGTAGTATTCCTACCTAGTTCTAGAATTTCAGAGTATCTGCTTGGTTTTCTTATAACTTCTTTGCATAATTGAATTCTATGAACATGTGCAATATTCTAAAATTTTAAGGTATTTGATAATACAGTAGAATTCCAGAAATCCACAAAGCTTGGGATCAGAGGTTGTGCAGATTTTAGGATTTTGCAGATTTCAGGACAGAAAAGATAAAGCATAATATTCAGACTAAAAATGCAAAATGAATAAGGTGTATTAGATACATTTAATTAAATTATTATATACATTATTACAATAATTTATTATATGCATTAAATTATTATTACATATATAAATTGATTATATTATTCATTGTATTATATGTACACAGCATCGAGGTTTGCCGATTTAGCCTCATGCAAAGATTTCCAGTTTCGGATTCTGGTGTTAAAATCACTTTTGCTGTAAAATTTCAACAGCTTTTCTTTATTTTTCTGTATACCATACACAATCATGTCGCAATTTCATACCATTCTGCTATAAATCGAGGAGTAGCACCTGCTTCCATCTTTTGCAGAATTTGCACTTTTTGCGTTACCGTCAATGCAACGTGTTTACGTTTTTCAACGTTCCAAGCAGTAAAATCACGAGTGCGTTTCTGATTTGTCATTGCGTTAAAAAGGGCTGAAATTAAAAATATTATTAATTTATCCACAAAATATCTATATAAAAAAAAAGGCAGCACTAAACAATCTCGTGAAATGAAATAACAAAGCTCAGAAAATACAACAACGTGGATCGTGAACTTGAACAAAGAGTTGAGTGAATCTTCTGCTTTTTTTACCTCGATGCAGATTAGAGGGGAAAAAACATATTTATTTTATCTTATTTTTTTAAACTTTTTTATATCAATCACTTGGTATTTCCGTTTTAATTCATTATTATTCAGTAATTATGACGTCGTTTATTCGGTAAGTATTTTTTTCTTCGATATTTCGTACTCAATGTTGTGGTTTCCGGAACCTATAAACTGAATGTTTACGTTCTGAGAGGGAACGCAGATTTCAGGTTGGCGGATTTTCGGTATTTGACTATACTAGTATGCAAAATTTAAGCAATGTTCCTGATTTTGGATATAATTCTACAAAAAATTAACTGGGAGATATGAAATACATGCTATAGAGACAAAACATAGTACTTAAAGATGAGGAAAGTATAGTAGGAAAAAAATGAATAGGACACTCTACAGCATGGAACAAAGAAAAAAAAGGCTTTAAACAAACAATTAAAGGGACTTTTTGACAAAATGGTATTGGCACCAAAAACTGTCTGGCCAAGAGGAAGTACAACACAAAAAATCAAAAGCTTTAGTAACAGATATGATCCTCCCTAACTGCAGTGATTGTGTTGCACCATCTGTCAATATTCAATATCAGATTATCTAACAGTTCTTGAGGTAAGAATTCCCATTCTCCAAAGAGCATCTGTTTCAGTTGTCTGGTGTTCTACGGAGGATAAGATTGTGCTGTCAGGTGTCTACCTAAAGTATCCCACACATGCTAATAGGATTTAAATCAGGGGAGTTATGAAGGCCAATCCATTCTATGGATATCTTCCCTTTCCAGGATCTCCTGAATAGCATGAGCCCTGTGTGAGTATGCTTTATCATCCATAAACACAAAATTGGGAACAATGGCACTTTGGAAAACAGCACGTGGGGGAGAATAACTTCATCCCATTAACAATCTCTAGTAAGTGAGCCTCTGTTGAAAATGTGTAGCTCTGTCCATTCATTTATCATAATGCCTCCCCATGCAAGAGCATGCCAGGACCACCCCAATGGTTAGTGGAATGAAAGCATGTCCCTACTTTTTTTTCATATCAACTGGCAGAGCTCCTCTCAGTGATATGCAGTATTCAGATAAGCAAGCAAATAAGCCACCTTTATGAAGTCATCCAGCCACAGTAAACCAGGACATCTGTCATCCATTACCATGTACAGCGGCTGAGCAATATTGCCTGTTGTCTGGTTTTGATCTTTTTTTGCCTGCAGGGTGATATAGCAGTCATCAGTCACCATTGTTTTCTTGGGCCGACCGCTACCAACCTTTCTTACAGTTGTACCTGTTATTTGAAAGGCTTTTTGAGCTTATGAAACAATACTTTTATCAATTTCAATCTCTTGGGCAACAGATGTCAAACTAGCACTTTCTTCAGGCTTAGCAATCATTCTACCATGTGTAAAGCCATCTTAATATATTCTTGTAACCATGCTGCAAGACAATCACACTTTCACTCACAGAAAAATGTTCAAAATGTGCTTCCTTTTCTTCCTTTTAAACTGCCTTGCCCTGCTTGTGCTGACTCACGTTTTGAGTGCCCTAACATAACCTCTGATGTCATGGTGCTGAGATTTGCATTTGCATCACCTTTCTGTATGAGCTGGCTTTTCACTGTACTGCTCACAAAAAACTTTTTTCAGCAATTCCATGTTTTTATTTTGTTTAACCCCTTAACTGCAGCGGGCATATATATACGCCTTGCTCAGCCGATGCGTTAACTGCCTAAGATGCGCCGCCGATGCGTTAACTTTGCGAATAATTTTAGGTGTAGCAGCGCAAAGCAAATGATAGCAGTTTGGAAGGACGTATATATACGCCTGGGGCAGTTAACGCATCAGCTGAGCAAGGCGTATATATACGCCCGCGGCAGTTAAGGGGTTAAGCAACAAATGAAACCGAACAATCTTTAAAATGAATGAAAATTTACATAACAAAACCATATCAGTCAATGAATACTTCAAGGTCTTTTTGATTATTATTTATCCTAACTGCAATATAAAATACTGAAATGTTTAAAATATTATGAAAATTACCAAAATGTTAGACAATGACACAATAAAAAATTTGGAAAATTGTGACAAATGATTAGCTAGTTAATGGATTTCCACAGATTTCCAATTAAAAAAGCTGAATGTGTCTCCAAGATGTAAAACAAGGAACACTACGCTATAAAAATTATATTAATATATCGCAACCTGCCCAAGAATAATCAGCATCTAAATCTATTTGCAACAGAATTTTCATAGCCTAACGTTGCCTAATGCTAATATTTTGAACAGTATGAAATTAATGTGATTTTTAAAGGTTTTTAAAGCCTGCTAGAACAATGTTTTACAAAAATTTATTTTAATGCATAGCAGCAGACAATGTGTACATTAACGTAAAAGACGAAGTAAAAAAGATCATTTTAAAATTAAAAACATAAGAAAATAAAAATTAAATACATATCTTGGAATGTGAATCATCTAATAAATTTTTCTGATCATCACAGTTATACAGAACAGGATTACAAAAAATCACAAATGAAAGTATACTTATTTACATCAAGTTTTTCTTTTTCGTCCAACTAAAAAAATTGCAAAAAAAAAAGTAATTATTAAAAAAGCAATCAAAATATTTAATCAAAAAATTAAAATAAAATTACACAGATCATTAACAATTATTTTTCACGCATCGAACAAGAAAAACTTTATAAAAAATTATATGGATATATGGTAATCATTAAAGTGCAATAGAATTATATTTCTACATATAATAAAAGGAAAAGTCTATCTGTGTGTGTGTATGTGTCTTTTCTTTTGTACTGTGCATGTGATAATAGACCCAGGGCTAAGAAATTTGGTACATAGGTGCATTCTAGACAAAAGGCAGTGCAGCTCAAAGCGATTTTTTTTTCAGAGGGTTTTTTTTATTTATTTATTTATTATTTTTTTATTTTTTGGCGGAATTGCATCATTTTGAAACATAATGGCCTACAGGAACAATGGCATATCAGGACTGTTGCCAATCAAAAAAATGAGGATTAAAATTAGCGTTTAAAGAGTTTTTAATTAATATATCTGATTTTAGCTTTTTTTGGGGGGGGGGTGGACATCGACCTTTTCTAGGACCCACAAAAGAATTGTAGAAAGTTTGGTGACGATAGCTATAGTAGTGACTGAGTTATTAGCAAACAAAAACACAGACTTTCTCGCTATGCTTTGTATATTGGACTGCTGACTGTTTTCTCTTGAAAATATGAGATAATATAATATTAATTATACTTTCCTTTTCACAATTTTTTGTGTTTCTTTTATGTTATTTATTAGTTATTTCACCGTTTTTAAGATATTGAAAAGTTTCTTTATACTATTTGAACTCTTAAGATTTTGCAATGGGATGTTTTAATTTATTTATTAGGATAATTAATACTTGTATTAAAGGATATTGCTTATTTCCCCGTAATTCTTTTATATATAATGCAATTTTATTGATTTTTTGGGGAGAGGATAAAATTGTTGTGCAGAGTAAAACTGTGCAGTTTTTAAATTTAATGTTTGGTGTTCCTTTTAGGCATTTTTTCGGTACATTTAAAAGCCAGATGAAGGCTGGCTGCATAGTAGCTAGTATTTAATAAAAAACACAATTACTTACATCAGCTTTAGGTTCCTCTTTGATCTATTTAAAAAAATAATTAACTATTAATGAATTCGTCAAGTAAGAGAGAAATATGTGAAATACTAATAATTTTTCCATGCATAAAAGATATATATTACATTTTTTAAAGTAACAAAAAACAGTCACATATCATTAAAGGAAAAAATTATACACAAAGGAAGAAGATTTGATTAAATCAGTTATGTCAAAGAATGAAAAAAATATCTGCCTAAGGAGAAAAATGCATCCATAAAAGCAGAAAAATAAGAATTCATGAAATATTTTCTAAACAAAGATAATATTTAAAATATCAAACATAAATATTTCTAATATTGTAAATAAAATTTTGCTTTAACAATGCACAGTAGAAAAAAAATTATTAAGCTTCCCTGGGATTTATACAACTCTCTACATTAAATTTTGTTTTGAACAGTATTAAAAATATTCATTATATGAATCTCAGGTTGAAAAAATCCACTCTTTTTTGTCAATTCCTTAAACAGATGTTTTGACTGTTTCAAGTATTTTCAAGCATTTTAGCATTTTAGTTGCAGGTGGTCTTAAAAAAAAAAAACCAAACGTTAATGTAGATAAACATACAGAATAGAACATATCTTTTCAATGGCATTCTGAAAGCTTTACAAAACTCTCAATATAGTCACTAACCAATATTTTAGTCTGAGAAACATTATTCTAAATAATAGTGATGATATAAAAATCAAAAGTGATTTTGCATATTTTTAATGGTAATAAAAAAAATAAGTTAAATTAAAAGTGCATCTAATTAATGAAAGTTAGTAACGAAATTGTACTTTCAATGATTCAGAATGTTTACAGTTGACAAATAATGCACTTTCTATGCAAATAGCTGACCATGAAAATAATTTGATAAGTAAACTTTAATTTGCCTGTTTATCAATGGTCATAATTGAAAATTATCTTGACACATACAATTTAAGATATCAAAAACAAATCTTTAAATCTACTTCCCCTCACAAAGGGAAATATTATTATTTAGAATTAAAGTACAGAAAGGATGTTTATTTGTAATATAGCATCATGTTATAAATCCTTTAAAATATAAGCATACACAAATTAAGGTTTCCCATTTTCCTCAGGATTTTGGATTTCAAGGAAAATGGTGAGTTAGAATAATCAGAATGTGATTGATACCAATCTTCACAATATAATAAATCAAAAAGAAGATGAGTTGTACAAAACAACGGATCATATTTAGGAATCTGACTTGTAAAAAGCAAAATAATTTGAAAGCTGTGTATATAATATCCGTTTGTACTGAACTGCATAAAAACTGAAAGGTCCACCTTTGTTCAGAAGTAAATAAAAGTGAACCCATGAAGAGTTTAGAGTATTTTTAATGACAAAATTAAATTTGTTTACATCAGGTGACTTAAAGTAGGACATAGGTAAGTTTAAAAAAATACAATATACTTAGAAAATTGTGAAGGAAAAAGGTATTTTGATGGCTGCAGTTTTCAATATTGCATATAATTTCTTTAATGTAAAATATTTGTTGTGCTTTAGTAGTTAGAAATTAATCATTTTGCATGCAATAACAAGATAGTCATGCTCATGTGTGGTAACATTATTTATTATTATTATTATTATATTCTTGTATTATATATCATGAAACTACTGAGGACAAGTGGCAAATTTATCACTGGAAGCCCATCTTATTCAATCTTTTGGAGCCTCTCATCTTAGCATACTAGGCTTGTTTACTACATTTAAAAAATTAATTAATGATTTGAACTCATAACTGCAACTTATTTGATTTCATAAATTTACCTTTACATAGCACCTGAAGTTATGATATTTGTTGCCATTAAATGTTTTCACATTTCATATGAATATTGAGTACACTGACTAGCTAATGTTACATCACAGAAATGTTATAGCCTACAAATGCCCCATATCATCAGGATTTCCATGGAGCTATCAACCAACAGAACAATGAGAGACTGCATATCATATGCACTATCCTTGATAGGCAGTATATATCACTTCTGTCATGACCAGCACATTCACTGTATTTTTCACAAACTGAAAATATCTAATCCATGACAGTACAGATTATCAGTGATTACCTAGAGCAGGGGTCGGCAACCTATTGAAATGGAAGAGCCAAAGTTTACAAATTACAAAATTTCCCAGTTTTTAAAGAGCCACTAAAATTTTCATTTCAGTATTATAGTATATATTATTTCGTTTCAGTAAATATTATTTTTGGAACTTGAGCACTGCAACTTTACATCAAAAGAGCCGCATGCGGTTCGCGAGCCACAGGTTGCCGATCCCTGACCTAGAGGATACAACAAACGAACTATGTGCTGGAAGGTGAAGCTTCACAGATTTCAGTACCTAAAAGTTGCTATATAGAATCTATTTCACTCTATGCCCAGCTATAAAACCGCAATTATTGGTAGCATACTTTTTGCATCTAAAAATTGTTTGAAAATTTAACCTTTTTATCATCATATAGTAAGGTATTACTAAAATAGGAGACTTTATTATTCTTTTCTTCTTTGTGATACTGCAGTTTTAATGGCAACAATTTATTTCTGAAGAATAAGAAGCTCATTTACAGTTCTTTCAGAAAGAGCACTTTAAATTAAAAATATTAAATGCAGTGGAGTAAACATGTCAGTGCCTTATCTGGTTGATACTTTGAATTGTACTATTTTTGTTAGCGTGAAATTACTCAAAATTTTTAGTATCCCCAAAAAATAGAACAGACAATTTGTTGTTAACATGTGAGATGAAATAGTAGTGAATATTTTAAAAACCAAACTATAATAGCAAAAATATAAAAACTAAACGGTCGCGGACACTTAACCGACACCAGTTAGCCAACAAGACATTTAGCCGACAGGGACACTTAGCCCAACATGGACATTTAGCCGACAGGACATTTTGCTGACACAGAGTTAGCCGTCAAGACATTTAACGACGGGACACTTAACTATCAACACATTTATTCGACAGAACACAAAGCCGACAGTAACGTTTAGCTGGCACATACCCAATAATTGTTCAAACTTACTATCAATTACAAATTTCTCAACTTCTCTGTAAGTTCAATATTTAAATAATTTTTTCACTATCAGTAAAATTCATTTTTCAATTCTTAAAGATCTTATATATACTTTTAATTATTGTGTTAATTTAGCATTGTTTGATATATATCCACGAACCTTATAAGAAATAGACCAACCCAAATGGGTTTTCTCCCTTGCCTTGGCGTATTGCCGGCTGTCACCTTGACCACATCCAGAGGAGTAGGGACGACTTGCAGAAACTTAACAATAGTTTGGCTATTGCAGTGCGTATAATTTTCAAAAAAAAAAAAAAAAAGCTGGTGATAGCACCTCATTTCACAAATTAGAATTTTTAGATATTTTTATTTTTGAAACTGAGATTGATTTTAAAAATTTAGCATGTTTATCAAGCATAATTAATGTTCTAAATAATTATAAAGCTGTTGCATGCTTTCAGGTCTGGATATTTTTTTAGCTTTTCCTATGCTGTAAGGAAATTTGTATCTCCTTCTTTTAAAAAATAATATTTTAAATCTGAACTAATAGAAAAATTCAAACAAACAATTTTCTCTTACAATTTTTATGCTTTTTTTTATGGCATAAATAAGTAAAAAATACTAAAATTGAAAAGAAGGGATTTTGAAGTTTTTGCTTAAAATTCTTATTTGTACTGCTTTTTTAAAATATATCTGAATATGAAAGCATAATATTCTACAAAGAAGTTTTATTTCAATAATATTTCATAATGCATCATAGTAATTAAACATTTTAAACTTTAATTTAATATTTTTATGCATTTATTCTAATGTTAAAAATTGTATTTAACTGTAATAATTAATTGTGCTAGTATTTTATAGTGATTATTTTTTTAAATTTATGTCTAGTTCTGCATAAGTTTTCTTATTTATTCCTAATTCATTTAATAAACCCAAAGGGGCAGCAGCTCAGAAAAGCTATTAGTTTTGAAATAGCATTTTGCTTTGTTTCACCATAAATATTCGTTTCACTTTGCAAACTGTTGCCACCAAATATTATCGCCCTGTATTAAATTTAAAGAAATTAAATAATGAAGAATCTGCATGAATGCATGTATGTTTCTCTCGCACTGTGAAAAAATAACAGAATTTAGAATCATAAAATTTTGAATAACGTAATCCTCCACGCGAACATGGGCACCCGGACAGCCTAATTTCGTATTTGTTTTAATCCATTTGATATTTTGGTAACTTTAACGAAGTTTTTGATTAAGAAACTCAACGAGTTCAAAGCAAGCAATGGCAACCCTGTACAGAAAATAACAATCTCCAGTGCGGAAATTCTAACGATATGTCATTTTCAAATATTTTGTGATATTGTTCTTGAATTAAATTTTATGTGGTTTACGTGTGAAGAACATGATGTTTAATAAATAAAGGCAACACGCAAAACGTTACAAAAACGCTCCTTTGGGCATAATATAAAATTATATTGCTGAGTGCTTCCAGAGTTTATCCTTTTTTCTCCCTCATTACGCTCAAAAATGTTTATGCTCCGAATTTTATGAATTACTAAAATAATCATCTTGCAATGTTAATAATTAATGATCACATAATCAAATAAATGATAGTCTTGTTAAGTTATAATAATTTTAAAAATTACTGCCTGAAAATGCTCATAAAATCAAAGAAAATTATCAGATCTTGTTTAATTTTACCTTATTTGTTTCAAAGCATCATATGCTATAAGTATTCTTTAATTTTACTTTATTTGTACACAAAAGTAAGTTCATAAGTTTTGCATTTAGAATTTTTACCGTTTTACTAAAGTAAAGAAATTTATACAAGAATTACGCTTGAAAAAAAATGCAAAAAATGCAGTAAAAAGTGCTTTTATGAGATATGTTAAATCTTGTTTTCCAAAACTGGGACTTTCATAATCTCATACTTATACAACATTTAATAATTAAAAACAGTTATGTGATAC